TCTCATCCCCCCCATTCCAGAGGGAAAACCCCCCGTGGGATTCCCCAGGGACCCTCCTGCCCCAAAGCTGGCCCCACTGCCTAGCCCACCCCCCAGGGATGCGGGACCCCGTACCACGCCGCGCTCCCAGATGATGCTCATGCGGTCCTGCACACCGCTGACGCCATGCGGGATCTTGGTGAAGTCCTCCCTGCCCATGGCCTTCTGCTTGGTGCTGAAGGGCCGGTGGTCCGACGCCACAATGTTCAGCGTGTCGCTACGGGGGCACGGAACAGGCCAGCTGACGGCACCGCCGGGACCCCTGGCACCGCCCGGACACAGCCCGCCAGGAACAGGGGCCCACAGAGCTCAGCACCCCGGGAATGGAGCACCCAAATGTTGGGGTGCCAGGGAGCTCAGCACCCCGGGAATGGAGAACCCAAATGTTCAGGTGCCCAGGGAGCTCAGCTCCCAGGGAATGGGGTGCCTGGGGAGTTCAGTGTGCAGGGAATGGGGTGCCTGAGGAACTGAGCACCCAGGGAATGCAGCACCCAGAGAATGGGGTGCCTGAGGGGCTCAGCACACAGAGAATGGGGTGCATAGGGAGCTCAGCACCCACACATGGGGATTTCCCTGGAGCGGGGTGGTGCCTGGGTTGTGGGGTAACCATGCAGTGGGGTCCTTGGGGAGCTCAGCACCCAGGGAGTGGGGAACCCAAGTTTTGGGGTGCCCGGGGAGCTCAGCACCCAGGGAATGGAGCACCCAGAGGTGCCCAAGCAGTGAGGTGCTGGGGATGGGGGGTGCCTGGGGGGCAGCCCAAGGAGGGGGGTGCTCGAGGGATGGGGTGTCTGGGGAGCACAGCACTGGGGGAGCGGGGTGCTGGGGCAGCCAGACTGGTGGCACCCAGAGCAGGGATGCAGCTGGGGAGGGGGCCCAGGGAGTCCCTTGGGGTGGGGTGCCCAGGGTGTGGGGTGCCCGGGGGGGGTGTCTCACTTGGCGAGCAGGCTCATGAGGTAGGCAGAGGTGTTGGTGTCAAGGCGCAGCGGCGGCACGGTGACGTAGGCAGCGGCGTGGAACCAGTCCTGGTGGTAGTAGTGCAGCCCGGTGAGCGTGGCGTGCGCCGTGGTGGTCTCCGCGTACACCGCCTTCCCTGGGGGGCGGGGGCCAAGGCAACATGCATGGGGATGGGGGGGTCCCCCCATGTGACACGTGTCGGACCCTCCCCATCCGAGCCCCTACCTTGCATCTTGGCGGCGGCGATGACGTCCCCTGCGGACATGCTGGAGACGTTCACCAGGTAGACGGGGCAGTGGGTCTGCAAAAATGGGGGGGAGGTCAGTGGTGCCATCCTGGGGCGTCCCGGTTCCATGGGGGGACCCCCCATGGAGCCGTGGCGCCCACTGCCAGCTAAGTGGGGGACCCTGCACCACTCACCCTGTTGGCAATGGTGATGACACGGTGCGTGGCCTCGGCTTCCAGCTGCGGAGAGACGGGCGTTGGTGCACAGACGGGTGTGCAAATGGGTGTGTGGGTGGGTGAGCAAATGGGTGCATGGGCAGGAGATTTGCTGCACAGATGGGTGTGCAAATATGTGCATGGACAGACGTGCTGGTGCATGAGTGGGTGTGCAAACGGGTGCACAGATAAGCATGTTGGTGCAAGGCTGGGTGTGCAAATGGGTGCATGGATAGGGGGGTTGGTGTACAGACAGATGTGCAAATGGATGTGTGGACTGGAATGCTGGTGCACAGGTGGGTGTGCAAGTGGGTGCGTGGGCAGGAGGTTTGCTGCACAGATGGGTGTGCAAATATGTGTGTGGATGGGGGGGTTGGTACATGGACGAGTGTGCAAATGGGTACATGGGCAGGAGTCTTGGTGCATGGATGGGTGTGCAGATGGGTGTGCAAATATGTGCGTGGGCAGGAGATTTGCTGCACAGGTGGGTGTGCAAACGGGTGCACAGACAGATGCATTGGTGCACAGAAAGGCGTGGAAATGGGTGCATGGACAGACGTGCTGGTGCACAGGCGGGTGTGCAGACAGTGTGATAGGCGTGCAAACGTGCAGATAGTGTGCAGAGAGGTGCATGCACGGCGTGCAGACAGGTACACAGGTGGTTGCACAAGTGCTGCCAGCCCTGGGGACACCCCGGCACATCCCAGCCCCACTTGTGCCACCACCCCTGCAGGGACACGGGGACACGCTGCCACCCACCTCCTCGGGCCGGCTGATCTCGATGCCCTCGGGCCCCGTGATGCCCAGCTCCAGCGCCTCCTTCGCTCCCTGCGGTACGGGGACAGTGTCAGGGTGGGGACAACCCGGGGGGGCTCTGCCGGTCCCCACCGTCCCCGCGCTCACCTCGGCCACCAGCTCGCCGTTCTCGGCGTGGACGCGGGCGATGGCGCCGATGTCGCGACAGGCGCGGAAAGCCTGGTAGAGCTCGCTGTCCCGCAGCATGTACGCGTCC